AAATAAAAATAAAAAATTAGTTAATAATTACAGTCAACATAAAATAATACACAGCACATACAATAAACATTAATCATATAGCCTGGAATACAGGTGTGTCAATAACATTGACACTTCTTAGATGTTTTTAGCTACAAAACTCATTGCCATTATCTGCAATCATTGATCTTTTATTTAGTTTTCTAAATAGGCCTACAGAGGCGGCTGGGTGGCTCAGTCGGTTAAGCGACTGCCTTCGGCTCAGGTCATGGTCCTGGAGTCCCAGGATCGAGTCCTGCATCGGGCTCCCTGCTCGGCAGGGGATCTGCTTCTCCCTCTGCCCCTCCCCCCTCTCATGTGCTCTCTCTCATTCTCTCTCTCTCAAATAAATAAATAAAATCTTAAAAAAAAAAAACAAACAGAAGGCCACTTGCACCTTTGCAATAGGATTCTTACTAGTGACATTTTCTCCCCCTCCCCCATTTGGAAACTTTCTTGCACACAGATACTTTAAAGTTAACTAGTGATGGACATGAAACTAATGTAGATTTGAACCAGTCCCTGTACTAGTGTCTCCTTCACTGAACTAGAGGCTTATAATAAATGGTATTATCAAAGTACAAAAAGTCAGATGCCAAATGTAATAAACCCCCACCCCCATTTTCTGCTTTTCGACTAATTTTATTTACACAGCTCCTGGCAAATAGCCATATTTCATGAATCAACATGAGAGCAATCTTAAGAAAATGTGTATAAGTTACCTGTGCTACCATAGATGTCTGTGTTTGACAAAAGAGCTTCTAAGTTGCACATATCTTATAATCAGCATCACAGTGAAAATGTTCTGTCCACACTGGTTTATGCAGTGATACACTGACATGCACAGAAGTACGTATCTTTAAAGACATTAATCAACTTTCAGGACATATAAAGAAAAAAATTACTAAAAATTAATAATAAGATCTTCATCCACCATTAAATTCTACATTATGTTGAAAATCTGTCATACTAATGAGTGGAGCGGGTGAATTTAATATAGAATGCTACATTTGAAGCACACTTCCAAAAATGAATTTCATTGCAGTTAAACTTTTTCTCTGGATTAGGCATCTCTCACCATTTGGTATGCATTCCTTTACAGTGTATGTGGCCTTCTGAAGGTAACAAATGGAGCTCAGCTGGGCTGTGTGTGGGAATGATGAGCAGTGGTTCGGGTTCCTTCACATTGGTAGAAGCTGAACGCTGGAATAATTGACCTGTCAGGAAGCAGGCATGGTATTCTCTCCAAGCCAGCAGCAAGGCAAATGGGAAACCTGATTTCAAATGTTATTTTTCAATGCAATCTACTTAATAACTACAAAACTGGTGAACAGGTGGTTAGATTTATGTCTTCGTGCCATATTTTGTAGCAATATTATCAGATAGAGGAATAATACAGAACAATATTGTGCTAACGTGTCTGTATATATCCTATATCTCAGTGCACGTGTGGGCATACCTCAGTGACAAATTTATGAAACATGCGAGACTTAATTGATAGGCTTTTAACATATCTTTAACCATTCAATTGTACATATGTTCCAAGGGCTAAACTCTATAGAGTTATGAAAGCATTGATCCTTTTACATAAAAATCCTTTAGTACCACAAAATTCTTTGAATTGTGTTTCAACTGTTATTTCATTTTGTTTTTCTTACTCAAAGATTTAAGGAGAATTGATAAATTTTCCTGTAAAATTAGTATTTTTCAGCTCTCAGAGAGACTGGAGAGCAGATGCTACAGTCTAAAATCAGAAGTTTTTTCTCACTCATCTTTTCTCAGTGTGATTATAATTAGTTATAGGAGAAACCATAAAGGATGGGAACTGTAGGAAATTAAAATCTATCCATTTCACACTCGACCCAACATGAACTATTTTCATTTATAACTTCAGAGTTTCTTCCCCATCAATATAAAATTAGTTTTAAATCTTAAATTATGAGTCAATGTATAAGTCAATTATTTTTCCCAATATGAAAGAAAAAGATTTTTTCCTTGTGTTGGTGAAATTTATTGCTGTGTTTCTGGTTTTATTTATTAAACACAAAACAAAACAAAAAGATAAGTAATGATACCACTCAGAGATAATGGTTGATGAAAATTTGGAATACATTCTCTCAGAATACTTTTGATAGGAGTGTTTTTTTTTTTCAGAAAGAGAGCCTGCCTATTGGAGTCAAATGGATCAAAGTTCTAGAGCCAGACATACCTGGGTTCAAATTCTGCCTTGATATTTGACTTAGATAACTCTCTTACAGTTGTCTTCTGTTTCCTTTTCTGTAAAACTGAGATAAGAGTTGTTTTAACTTCTTGAGGTTAATGTCATCATTAAATATGACACTTAGCTCAGTGCTAGACATACAGAAAGCACTCATTAGAATGTTAGCTGTTAAATTTATTATCGAGCACATATTAGCACAGCTGTTGTGTTTTCTTTAAATCTATCCATTATATTTAAAGGACATTTAAAAAAAAAACTGTCACTGTTGAACAATACATGCAAATTCGGAACTACTGGAAACCAGACCTCTTGCCTCTTGTCTTTATATTCATATTCTATAAGCAGTATTAATGCACATCAAGACTTACAGTTCGTGTTTATCCTAATTGCTTCCTCTGTAGCCCCAAGTGCCCCTCCACAATCTGTCACTGTGTTAACAGTTGGAAGCCACAATAGCACAAGTATTAGTGTTTCCTGGGATCCTCCTCCTCCGGATCATCAGAATGGAATCATCCAAGAATACAAGGTAGGGCCTGGGTGAAGAAGCAAGGCTCACAGAAAAGCTTCCCAGAGAAGTCTCAGTGTCACATGCATGAAGCTCATCTCCAGAAGCCCTCTTCTTGAGTCTGAGTGTAGAGTAATTTTCCTATCTTTGTGTGACAAGTAAAGAAACAAATACATAGGGGATTGGAACCTAACTCCAAGACACAGATAACAAAAACTCACTTGGACAAGTAAACCCTAACAGTGGAGTGGTTTTGTTTTGTTTTGTTTTGTTTTGTTGGGGTTTTTGTAGAGTGTGATTCCAGAATCTCAGAGATTTAGAGAGATTGGGTACAGAGTAGGTAGTGAAGCCTTCATTCCAGAAACATCCTGTATCATTGTTATGAAATTTCTCTGTAATGGGCCTTAGCAGGGATGTTTTTAAACTGTGGTCTCATAAAAAGATGCTTCCAAGGTTTAGAGAGTAGGGGTGGGGATAGGAGGGTGGGCAGCACTAACTCTCACTCTTAAGTCCTGCTTTGGTCAACTTATTGAGGTTTTGTAAAATATTTCACTTGAAAAAGGGGAGCCATTATAAAACCAAATTATGAAAAAACATAAAAAATAGTTTATTATCTCATTTTTCAAATGATAATTTTGTTGTTGTTTAGAAACTATAGATCCATTCTTTTCCTGCCATCGTTTGATGTTTAAGAGACAGAAGATGTCTAACTTTGGGAAATAAGATTCTGATTAGCTGTGATGTGATTAGACCACATATGATAGTAAAACGCCTCATTAAACCTTATAAAAATTCAAAACCATGATTTTGCTATTAATAAATGTATATGGAATCCTAACAATTAACATGCTAGATAGATCTATTAGAAGAGAAGCTAAATGCCCCATCTCATCCTGAAAGTTTAGAGTTGGTATGCAAAATGAAGCTGAATATTACACTGAAAACATTGCAGATTGAATTATGTTATTTATAAGAAAAAACAAAATTCAAAATAGAATTTTCTTAAACTAATGAATGATTAACTTACTGAAACCATGTGTACAAGCACTTACTCTAAAATTATTCCTATCACTTTATAAAGAAACATTTGTAAGAAATATAAGAATAAGTGTTTTACAGTATCATAATTACACATAAATATTATATATGTATATGTATAAATTTTACAAGGATTAGGGCACGTTGTTTTAATAGCAAAGAATGATCTATTCTGGTGTGTGTGTGTTTTAATGAGGTTAGGATTTTACTTTTGTATCATTTGGAACTAAATTTCCTAAACTTCCATATACTGAAATACCGATTTTGATTATAACATGGTAATTTTTGTCATAAGTTGTAAGCTTTCTCACTCATATGAGAGTGCCTTATTTTGCTAACAAAGTGTATATTTTGGTTAGGCCTAAATATTCCTACATTAGTAACATAAATATCATTGTGTAAATAAAAGAAATATACAATTCACAGGAATTACTTTAAATAAAATGTTTCAGGAATTTACCTGTTTCAGAAATAAACCATGTGTGTTCCCACTTACGTATCTCCATGTAGATTATAAAATACTGTAGACTATGAATACAAATATGTGTACACAGTAGGATTCTTTTTATAATGCATTTGACAGTAACAAATCTCCATATCTCAGGACAAAGTATGCCTTATAATGTGATTCTTACTTGCAGTAAAAGCCTGGGTTCTTTCACATCAGTCTTTAAAGACTTTCCACCAGTTTGTTCTCATGCATGTGTCTGTGTATATGTACATATGTTTTGATCAATATTGAGATTTATTACTGTCAGTGTAAATATTGGCTTTAATTTCATCTCAGTCAATACTTATAACTTAGGTCAATTAATCTTGTTAACTACTTCTGGGTAAGTTAATATTTTCTTAAATAAAATATAAATTACTTAGATGTGCACCAATATCACTTGGATATTACAACTAGTAATCACCATATTTTAATAGATTATATGCTTGATAAACCTTGATAAATAAATTAAGCAGAGAAGTTTATGTGTTTTAATCCATACCCAAATACTGTTTGCAACCAAGGACCACTTTCCAGAAGTGTTAAGGGAATCACTGCGTTGTAAGCATTCAGTGTTGATTGTAAAATATAAAGGAACATGGCATAGTTTTAGCTTCCCTTAATAGTCTTCCTTTAATATGTATACATACACACACACATACACATAGATAAATAAACTGCAAAAATTAGGCTTTAGAAAATGTCATTTACAAATACTTCTATAAGCCGAGAGAATAGATTTGTCACTACTGAAAAAATATGTCATCAATTTAACAGAAAGGATAATTTTGTATTCTTTTGTTATTCATTTACATTTCTATAGATCTGGTGCCTGGGGAATGAAACACGATTCCATATCAACAAAACTGTGGATGCAGCCATTCGATCTGTGATAATTGGTGGATTGTTCCCAGGTATTCAATACCGGGTGGAGGTTGCAGCTAGCACGAGTGCAGGGGTTGGAGTAAAAAGTGAGCCGCAACCAATAATCATTGGTGAGTATAATCGTTGGTGGGTACGTCTCTGTGGCCTGGGCTTCAGAGTTAGCCAACTGGTAACAAGGTAGATGATATTTTTAATCTGTATCCTAACAGTGGATATGCAGCAATGAGTGATAGGGTGCACTCATCATATAGGCAAATCGGTTGACTGACTCGGGTTTCTTATAAAAATAATTAGCAATTTCTTGTGCTTTTAAGTTCCCCAGAAAATTCTTTAAATTATAATCACTAAGTGTTTAAATGCTGAAAGTTGGTTTGAAAATGATTTTTAATCAATAATTTCATTAGCAATTTTGATGTCATTGAAATATAATAGGAAATGAGGCACTTACTGAAGAAAGTGCTTTATGTTTCAAATCCTCTAAGCAAGGAAAAAATGTCAAAATTTAATCAGAAACAGGCCAAAAGAAACTTTGTAATCCAAATATATTATCCTGAAGAAGAAATCCCTATTAAATCTACTATCATCATTACAGAAAATTGTTCTCTATTAGCATTGATTTTGTTTGCCTGTTCTTGAAATATATGTAAATGGAATTACACAGAATATAATATTTTGTGTCTGGCTTCTTTCACTAAACAGTGTTTTTGAGATTTACCCATGTATGTATCATGCAATTCTTATGTTTTGTTTCTGAGCAGTAGTCAATTGGGTGAATATATCTTATTTTGTTTCTCTGCTTTTCTCTTGAGGGAATTTGAACATTCCTGTGTAAGTCTTTTTGAGGACATATGTTTTTATTTCCTTTGGAGAAATACCTAGATGTGGAATTTTGGAGTATAGGATTGATATAGTTTATAAGAAACTGTAAACACTGTTTTATATGCTTGTATAATTTTATACTTTCACTAGCAAAGAATATGACTTGCAGTTTTTCTACCCCATTGTCAACATTTGATGTTGCCAGTCCATAATTTTAGTCATTCCAATAAGTATGAAAGAGTACCTCACTATTGTTTTTACTTCAGTTTTCTTTGATGACTAATGATGTTGAACAACATTACATGTGTTTTATTGGCCATTCACATATTTTCTTTCTTACAATTTCCAAGTCTTTGCCTTTTTAAAACTGTGTTGTTTGTCTCTTGTTACTGGATAGGAGAACCGATACATTCTGGATACAAAATCTTTGTCATATATTATTTATTGCAAATATTTTCTCCTGGTCTATGGATTCCCTATTTCTTTTATTAACAATGTCTTTTGATTAGCAAATTTTTAAATTTTTTAAATTCTTCATGTTTAGTGCTTTCTAAGAAATTGTGTCCTATCTGTAGATAGTGAAGATATTTTCTTAGATTTTCTTCTAGCAGCTTTATAATTTTAGCTCTTATGCTTATGGCTATAATTTATCTTAAAGTAATTGCATGTGTTTTGAGAGTTGAGGCTTATTTATTTTCCTAAGTGTATCAGTGCATGTTTTATTAAACTTTTCCCTATTTGATTTTTATAACTGTAAAATTTCCTTTTCGGGGCACCTGGGTGGCTCAGTCGTTAAGCGTCTGCCTTTGGCTCGGGTCATGATCCCAGGATCCTGGGATTGAGCCCCGCATCGGGCTCCCTGCTCCGTGGGAAGCCTGCTTCTCCCTCTCCCACTCCCCCTGCTTGTGTTCCCTCTCTCGCTGTGTCTTTAAGATTTAAATAAAATCTTAAAAAAAAAAATTCCTTTTCTACTTTTCTATATTATATATAAACTTACTTTTATATATTACCTTTTCATCTTATGACCTTACTCCCCTCATTTATTTATTTTAATACTTGTGACGTATTTTTTCAGGGTGTATTCGAACAATATTCTGTCTCCTTTCTTCTTATTTGTGTTACTATGTTAAAATCTACTGAATCATATCAAAGGTGAATAAACCTTACATTCCTGGGATAAATCACACTTGATCAAAATGTACTATGTTTTCTACAGATATTACTGGATCTAACTTACTAACATCTGGTAAAGAATTTTGCATCAATTTTCATGTGGGATATTGATCAATAGTTTTCTTCTAATGTCATTGTCAGGTTTTAGAATCAAGATGGCTAACCTTGTAAAAGGGGTTGGGAAATATCCCATTCTCTGCTATAGTCTAAGAGTTTTTGTGAGCCTTTTATTATTTCTTACTTAAATTCTTTCTAGAATCAGTTATAATATCTGTGCTTATAGTGTTCTTTGTGGATTCTATTTATATTTATGAATTTGCATTTATTTAGAATTGTTATTATTCCTGTGTTGGTTGTGTTAAATGGATTTTTGGTTTTGCCATCAATGAATTGTTCTGATCTACAAGTTATTGAATTTATTGTTATATGCTTATTTGCATATTTGCATTATCTCCTTATTTATAATCCCCTTTAATTGTAATGTTTCAGGATGTGTAGTAATGTCATCTCTTTTATTCTTTTTTTAAGATTTTATTTATTTATTTATTTATTTATTTGAGAGCAAGAACAGAAGCAGGGAGGAGGGGCAGAGTGAGAGGGAGAAACAGACCCCTGCTGAACAGGGAGCCTGATGCAGGGCTTGATCCTAGGACCCTGAGATCATGACCTGAGCCGAAGGCAGACACTTAACCAACAGAACCACCCAGGCGCCCCTCATCTCTTTTATTCTTATGATGAGAATTTGTGTTCCCTCTCTCCTTCTCTTTCTTCTCCCCCTTTTTTTGCCCCTCCACCCCTTCAATTTCAAGCAATCTTGATAAGGATTTGTCAATGTTTTTAATCTTTTCAATTATAAACTTTTGGCTTTGCTAGTTTTGTTTATTTGTTTTCTAATTAATTAATTTCTGCTATTTTTTCTTTTTTTTTGTTGCTTCTTAAGATAGAAATTTATATCAATGATTTGGACCTTTCTAATACAGAAATGTAAAGTTATACATTTCTTACTAAACACATCTTCAGCTGAATCTTACACATTTTGAGGTGTTATGTTTCCATTTATCACAATGTTAAAAATACTTTCACTTCACCTAAGGATTTCTTTTTCTTTGTAGAGGTTGTTTGGCCGTGTATTATTACATTTCCAAATATTTTGGGATTTCACAATAGCTTTTTCTTTCTGATTTATAATTTAATTCCACTATGGTTAGAAAATGTACATTGTATGAATTTAGTCTTTCAAATATGGAGAATTATTTTATGGCTCGACATTTGGTCTTAGGAAATGTTCCTTGTGCATTCGAAAAGTATGTACATTTTTCTGTTCTGGAGAATCGTTCAGGTCTTTACTGATTATCTGCCTGTTTATTCAGTCAATTAGTAAGAAAGGAGTCTGGAAATTTATTATAATTAAAGATTTTGGTATTCTTTCCATCTATAAGTTTTTGTTTCATATATTTTGCTACTTATTTTAAGAATACATCTTAGGATTATTATATCTTATTAAGGAACTTACCTTTATCATTATGGAATCCCCACTTTATTACCTAGTAAGATTCTTTGTCCTGAAATGTACTTTGTCTAATATTAGTATAGCTACATTATATTATAAGTGTTTTCATGGTTTGTGTTGTTTCCATCCTTTTACAGAGAAATTGTACATTTCTATTATTTATATTGCATGTTAAGTCTGTTTTAAATTCAATATGACGATCTTTGCCTTTTAACTGGAATGTTTAGACCAATAACTTCAATGTAATTAGTGATGCATTTGGACTTAGAATTACCATCTTGCTATTTATTTTCTATCTGAATTTGTTCCTATTTTCCTAATTTCTTTTGGATGAATTAAGTAGTGTTCTGTATTCTATTTTATATCCACTATTGGATTCTTAGGTATAACTTTTTTTTTTAATAATGATTAGTCTAGGATTTGCCTATCAAGACCTTAAAAAATATAATTCCATTTTCATTCCTCTCAATATTTTTGCTATTGTTATAGTTTTACTCTTATACATGTAGTAAACACCAATATACAAACTAAAGTATTATTATTATTTGCTTTGTTTAAACCATTAGTTATCTTTATCTTTTAAGTAAATTAAAAACTAAGAAAAAAATTTTATGTTACTCAAAATGTTACTCATTTTTTGTCAGATATTCTGTTCTATAAATTCAATCTCCTCAGTCTCCCTGAGTTCCTCTATCTCTTTAGCTCAGGAATTTTGTTTAGCCACGTTTGGGTTCCCCTTCACTGCATCACATTTTAGTATTGTCTTCAGATCGAAAGCTATGAAAATAGTAAGATCTCCCTTGTTTATTTTCCCTTTCCCACAATCCTGCCCTTTTGTTTTACATATTTTGCCTACTTTTCTACTTATTTATGGTAGGATTACATGTCCCATACCTGTTATTTCTTTATGGGCAGAAATGGAAGTATCCAGTGAATTATTAATTCTATATAATACTTTTCTGTTCTAGAATTTCCATTTGTTTTCTTTTACATGTTTCATTTATTGTAATAGCTACTTTAAAGTCCTTTTCTCCTAATTTCAACATCTGTGTCATCTCATGGTCTATTTCTATTGATTACTTTTTCTCTTGACCTTTGGTTGTCTCTTCCTTTTTTTTTTTCTTCTTTCTTTTTTTGCTGTTGTTATTTTGCTTGTTTTTGCTTGCTGAGTAGTTTTTTACTGTATACTATACATTGCAGATGCATACCATAAAATTTTGTGATCTTCTAAAGAACGTTGGGTTTTATTCTAAAGGGAGTTGATCATCTTGATTTTGTGGGGACTTGGATTTTACCTTTGTTAATATGGGACTGTTTATGTTTTGACCTTTTTCTCAGAGCAAAATCTCAGTTTGACCTTTACTTCTAAGTCATGGCCCTTAAGAGGCTTCAGTGAAAAGCCTACTATGTTGATCAAGTTAAAAACCCAACTTGATGAAATTCAAGGTTTAAACACAATTTTCTCTACAGTGAACATCAGCTGAAAAGTCTGTTGAGCATTTTCAGCCTTCTGGCTTTTGATATTCACCAGATTCTTGGAATCTTCATTCTGCATGCACAGTTAAGAGTTCATCTTATGATTGAGGGGGAATTCATACAAAGAGTTGGAAACATCGCTTTCGCATGGCTCTTTCACATGGCTTCCAAGTGAAAATTTTCAGTCACTCTGTCATTTCAGAACTGTATCCTCTGACACCTCATAGCAATACAATTGAGGTTTTCAGTTTGGGTTCTAGCTGCCTAGCACTGTATGGTTTGAAATCTTTAAGGGGAAAAGAAAGCCTCATAAGTGCAGATTTCCCCTAGTGCATTTCCCTTCTTTCAAGGGACAAATACCTTCAGTTCTTCCTGCTCTTATTTGCTTATTAGTATCTTTAATATATTTTTAAATATTCTTCCTAGAGTTTGCATATTTTAAGAATACTTAGCCAGACTTTGATACAATAGAATGTGCCAGTCCCATTAATTTCTGTTTGTTTTTGGAAATGATGTGCACAGAGCACACTGCCAATTTCTGGGAAATTGTTTCTTATTACAAAATATTTATTGTATATGAAGAGATTTAACATTCAGTCATACTGTTGATTTTTTTATATTCTCCAAGTTTTTGTTCTTTTATATGTTAAAAGCATTAAAAAGAAAAAGTTATAGTATTAACTTTTCGTTAAATTGCCTTCCCTTTCTTAATTAGTCATACAGACGGAATTAATTTTTTAACCTGAGGGGAACCTACAATCTTGCCCTTCTGAGATTTTCTAAAATAAATTGTAATAAGAGAGAAATACAGGTACACCCAAAAGGATTTAACTGATACACACACACACACACACACACACACACACATTATGCTATTTAGAAGTAAACCATTAATTTTTCCCTTAAAAATGTTTATGAAACATATTTAAAGGGCATTGTTTTCTGTGAGAACTCCTAGATAAGTAAACAAAGCTTTGTGGGTTTTTATAATTTTCTTTTACTGTCTATAACATATATGAAATGAAATATTTCTAACCCAGATTATCAAGTATCTATATTTTTCTTTTCTGTATTTTCTATTATTTTTATTAAGAAGTATAATTCTCAAGTAAGGAAAAGTTTTTTTTTTCTTTTTTTGTAGTGACTATGTGTATTGTTCACAATATTTGGGGGATTTATTGTACTTGGAGGCAAGTAAAACATTACAAGAATACCATTTAACCAAGCTCATGTCATGTCAATTAAGAACTTAACAACTGTATAGTAATTTTAGAAAAGGAAAACTAACTTAGAGTATTTTAAATCAAATAGAAAGTTTTGCTTAAGTTTCTATTATTTTAAAAAGACTAAGTGTCTTCAACTGTATAATTACTACCTTTTATTTTTTTAGTATATCATACAACTGTTTCCAAATTTTCTATGAAATAAAAAAATAATCTAATAAATGATATTTCTATCTCTGATTTGTGTAGTTAGAATGTGCAATATTCAAGATGTGATCAAATAGAATTGTACCACTTGGAATAAATGCATGCTCACACACGTGCACGCACACACACACACACACAAGCACAATTCAACACAGAAAAGGCTATTTATACTCAAGAGATTTATTTCTTTTTAATATCTACTGTTGTACTAAAGAAGCCTTTAATTGTTTCTTTAATTACTCCTGCACATCTACCTTAACATCTTGTCTGATAACCTTATCCACACAGCTGTTATTCCTTAGTTGAAAAGTGATTTAGTGATGGCTAATCTCCTTTTTCTGTTTCAATTTGTGCTTTCTCTATTGTCTGCTCAGTACTAGAAACCGCACTTGAACTGACTCAAGCTCTACCTCATTTCCCCTTTGCTTTAATTAAATCATGTATTGGCATTTGATGTAATTCATGGCTGATAATTTTAGATTTGTCTTATGCCAGACTATGTACTGTTTCATCTATTCCTTTTCAGTTTCATTTTCATTCCAGAAAGTTCCAATAAGGGAATATTAATTAAAATATTATATAAATAAAATAAATAGCCATACACAGGTTTACAAGCATTATTGTTCTTTGTATTTTCCACTGGTAAGATGACTTTACATCAAAGTGTCCATAGTTCTTCTATATTGTTGCACTTACACACAGAGAAATGCAACCACATACATTTACATAAATAAGCATCAAAGAGTATGCCATATAATAAATTTACTTTGATTTATAATTTTCAGTAATCTTGCTTAATAATATAGCTATTGTTTCTTTAATCATTTGGCCATTTAGTGCTTACCTTATATAGTTGGTAATAATATGTGGAACAGCTGCAAACTTTCACAGTCATAGGTACAATTGAATCTGATGTGTCTAATTAATTTTTAGTCCAACAAATTAGTTTTGTTCTTCATTACTCTCCAATGGGAGGAAGACATTACATTTCATTATATTTTTTGTCTGCAAGAACAATGGAGCATTACAGGTCACACACATCCCTTGTCTATGCTCTAATTAGCCCAACTGACAACATTGTTTCAAATATACCAGCAGCATAAGAAACAGTAATACACCCTTGGTAACATAAATATTAAACTATATAAAATATCATATTTTATGAACCTTTTACACAAATGAAGGACAAATTTTCTTTTCTCCTTGTTCTATAATGTGTTTGTTTTCTTTTTAGTAATTCTTAATAGCTATAAAAATCAGCAGCTATGTGTATGTCTCATATTGAAAATATGAGTTCATTTTAAAAATATTTTTTATTTATGTTTATATATATAATAACTAAGGACAGATAGATTGGGAAAATTAAGCAGGTTTATTACATAAGTGAATCTGGGTTTTACATCTGGGATTTAACACAACAGGCATTTCAGAAATGGAATATAAGTACGTATAAGAAAAATGCTAACAGCTATAACAAACAAGCCTATATACTGATTGGCTAGACAAAATAAAAGTGCTTTTTTTTTTTTTCTTATTCATAGCCCAGTCTATTATGGATTAGCAGAATGGAACTTGGGGTTTCTACTCCACAGAGTTATGTAGGGAACTTCAATCCTTCCAATCAATAGCTCTGCCATCTCTTACAGGGATCAGAATCCTCCAAAGATCCCTTCTTTCTATTTAACATTAGGAAAGAGAGAAGAATGTCAAGTATTGTCCCGGTAGTATATGGGCCAGGTCTAGAGGTAGTATGCATAACATGCCTATGCAGTATTATCCAATAACTCAGTCACTTTGCTACACTTCAACTACAAGTGAGTCTGGGATATGTTGGCTAATTTTTTGACCTGGAAGAAAGGAGAAACTGGCAAACAAGTCATCTGTGGTTCTTGAGACTCTCACATCTAGACAGTGTACAACTTACATCCCTGAAGTTCCCTGAGTGGCTCTTAAAGTAACCCTTACCCATACCTGGGTCATAATTTTGTGTCATAAACTACTGTGTTCTTATCAGCCTCTTTACATACATCATCTTAAATAATACTCCCAACTATTTGAAATAGTACTATTGCCAACTAACAGAAACAGGTACTTGAAAAGATTAAGTGCCCTACATAAGGTTATTGCTTATTTAAGTTGGTAAGTGGCAGAGATGATAACCAAACAGAAAACTTCAAAGACCATGTTCTTTCTAATATATTGTAATGCCATGATAACTAAAACAATGAACATCATACATGTGATGTGATATGCTGAAATTTGCCACTTATATTTTGATTTCAATTTATTTTTAAAGTCTTTGATTAGGAATTAGTAGGATATGTTATTGACATTACAAATCACTTAATTCCCAGTGTGTAAATATCTTAATCTTTTAAATAGACACCTAAATCTTTGCTTTTCAGTGATACTATGATTCTATAAGTTTTAACCTATTTTAAAATGTGGATTAAGATTTTCTTAATTATCTCTGAAAGGTCTAACCTACCAAAACCATGACTATTTCTAGAGTAATATTAGTCCAGATTTAAATGTGTATTTTAGTAACATAAACCTTAGACTTAGTATTAAAGTTGTCTTTTTAATTCAACTTTCAAGCAGATTTTCAAATTAGTTCAGTTTTAAGGGAATATATGAGTTTTACCTTTTTGTGACATATACATATTTTAATTATAGATACTAATCTCTATGAAGTACATAATTGTCATTGTTTTATACAGTAGTTTTAATACATTCCAAAAAATTAAAGGGTGTTTGATCAAAATAAGCTCCTTGTTAGTCTATTAAGGACAATATTAAATTACATATTTTAAACCATGAACATTTGAATTTAGTCAGTGCTACAGAGGAAATACAATTTGCAAATTTTGCGAATGTTGTAGTTGTTCTTTTTATTTTAACAAGACTATATTAAAGCATAATTTACCTAACTAAAGAGAAGTTGCTGCTATTTTGCGCCCTAGCACTTATTTTAGTACTTATTTATAAGGCAGTAAATCAAGGAGCAGTTCTGAATCTATTCATAGTAAACCAAAACATAAGGAAGCCATGTTCTTAATCACAGTTTAGACTCATAAAATATGAGAACTTATAAAATATGCTTCTTCTGAAACTTATAAAATATGCTTATCAATAATTGTGATGGGATCAGAGCACAAATATTACCTGCCTTCATAAGAATTTTCTAATTTGGTACACTATGTATGAATTCCTGTGTTTACTTTCATAATAATGTTGACTAAAACTATTATTTCTTCCACAGGGGGACGTAATGAAGTTGTCATTACTGAAAACAATAACAGTATAACTGAGCAAATCACTGATGTTGTGAAGCAACCAGCCTTTATAGCTGGTATTGGTGGTGCCTGCTGGGTAATTTTGATGGGTTTTAGCATCTGGTTGTATTGGCGAAGAAAGAAGAGAAAGGGACTCAGTAACTATGCTGGTAAGAGACTATTTCTAGCTAAGAAAATCTCCTGTCTTTAGGAACATGATGAGATGAAAGAGAGGGAATGGGACTGAATAATTAGTGAGTGAATGAACGAACGAATGAATGGATGTTTTGGCTTGTTGTAAACACCTGCTCTGTAAAATGCAATTATAAATATGCTTTAATGCATTTCTTCTCACCGTATCACATATGACCATAAGGCAAGTTTTTGCTTGTACCTTCAGTGAAGCCTAACAAGAGTGCACACGGATAAATGTGTAACCATTTTTTCTCAATTAGTTCTTCAAAACGCACACACACACAGACACACACAGACTGTATGCCATGAAGCCATTATCTGAGAAGTGAATTTAGGCAAGATCATTACTAACATGCTCAGGAAGAAAATATTTGAAATATAGCTTCTAGTATTTCAAGATGCAGATTACAATAGGAAATGTCCCAGATGGCAAATAAAAACAAGGAAAAAAATCTCATCAGAATTAATAAGACTGATGAAGCATGAATTGATTTACTAGTCTAGTCTATCTATTTCAAGGTGACCAATCAGCATTTTAGAAAGGAGAAAAAGGAAAAGAAAAAGAAGCAGAAGAAGAAAAAAGGAGATCCTAGATGTTCTAGCTATTTGCAAAAATGTTTTCTTCTTAGAATCTGAAAAGGAATTTCAAGGATGTCAAAAATTGTGGCCTTCAAAACATTTCCAAGGCAGAGAGGGAGTGGAATTATCAAGTCAGTGATTTAAAGAATGAACTCAGTATTGAAGCTATGTTCAATACCAATTTTAATTGCAATTCATTTTAAGTGTTTCCTCTAACAACAACAATCATAAAAATATGTTGTCTCGCAATATTTCACACTTTCTAAAATGTACAAGGGAACAATTTTAATTTAACATCATCCTACAAACACTTCAGAATTTTTTGACGCATTTTATTCAATCTTGTATTTCTAGTTTTAACTTTAAGTTTAAATGTTTATAAATGTCTTAATAACTGATTTTGACAGAAGCTTCATAGTTTATTAAGCTTATAAGCTGCTCTGGCTTGCAGGCTTCTTAGTCGCTGATGATGTCTAAATAGTGTAAAATAAAAGGGAAAGCACCCATTTGGTTGTCTTGCTTGTTATCTGACAGCATTCAAATGTGATCTTTCTATTATAGCATTGTGGCTCATGTCCATATCTTATGAAAATGAAGGTTATTATTTACTATTAGAGGAAATTTCCATGACTGGAGAAAGCAGGACAGTGTATCCATTGAAAAGGGGATTCCATGCTTTGTGACTTGCAATCATTCTGCCTTTCTCATGTCTCATTGGTTGCTGATTGCTTCTTCCTTGTGCTTTGTCATCTGACTACTGTATCACTACATCACTGAGGGATTCTTTCCAGTAAGGGATGCTAGGCAATAACTAGTGTCAATGTCTTGAACATTCATACTTTAATGTACCTTCTTGTTCTGCAGTCCAGTCCTCTACCTTCATTCCTTGTAGACATTGTCATCAACCCATCCGTTTAATCAGTCGCCATGTTACAGTTCATCTCTATGACATATATATGAATCATGTAAATCATAGGGAAGAGCTGATTTAATTCATGGGCTAGTTTGTGTTCATCCCTTCACTTGATTGTAGTGAAAATAATATAAGATTGACTGCTCTAGTTTCGATGCAAAACTCTAAGATATCCATATTTGAGGTGTTGCATTTTTATCCTCCACAGTCATTCTCTCACTCCTATAAATAACATAGTTCTCATAACTAGTAGGTTTATGCTTTTTGTAAAATTATGTCAGACAGACTTCTTTTTTCTTTTTCTTTTCCTTTTTTTTAAATGGCAGTTCTTTGCAAAGCCTATGCATTAAATTTGAAAATATCTGTTGGTCTTTGAGCTTAACAAGAATAGTACATTTCCTATTATCATTTCTCATTGTGATTGATATCCATCTGCTTGTAGAGGAACTGCTAACTCAGAAGGTGCTATGCCCTTCAAATATTTTGGAATAAGGCCAAGCCAGAGAGCAGCCTTTCAAAACCTTTATACTTAACTGATAGATGGCTGACTCTCAGAATGGATTCACCTTCGACTAATAATTTGCCTTCTAGCAGCTGCTGTTGTCTTCTAGGTGAGAAGCAAATGAAAATCCAAACCATAGGTACCTAGCATTGCATATCTGCCTTGGTGAAATTTTTTACACATTTCCCTACATATCTATCCTGTCCTCCACCTGTTAAAATTTTCATGTTCTTGTGCTTATACAACTTTAAAAGGGGGGGATTTTTAAATAGGTATGATTAGTGGAGTATACATCATAGGTTTAAATTTCTGATATTTCATGCATGAGCTAATGATCCATTTAAGAGCACAAAAATTTCATACAGGGCTATTTTTTTCTTTCTTTGAACTGTGTTATAAAAATTATAGAGAATATACTCTATTTGTATATATTTTGGTTTTCATAAAAAATTCTGTGGGAATTTTATAAATTTTACAAGCATGGAGAAGTGATTTTACTCACAAAGTGAAAAGACTAATATTTTCACTTTTTCACTGCATGATAATGTCTATGTGGTGTCCAAACTATTAATTCATGAGAGCATTGGTACTTTTTTTCCTAAATAAACAAAAAAATGAACTTTGAGGTTAAGTATTTAGATTAATTTTATAACATAAGACACTTCATTTATTTCAGACTCCAATTCTGATCTTAGATTATACTTAAACAGCTGATGCAATTTACATATATTAAGATATACATATATATCTGATGCAATTTACATATATACATGCATTTCAATAAAGCTTGACTGACTCTAAGTAGAATTGTAATGCAGGTAAAATTTGATTTCAGCTCTCCCTTTTTCCTACTTCATTCCAAGTCTCTTCTTAACCAATAGAGGTAGAATAGGGAAGATTTTAACTAGTGGGAAGATATGTAAATATCTTTCAGGTTAGAGATTCTAACTCTCTGCAAGATGCCTTCCACTCACCCTGTGCAGGCAAAAACTTACTGATTTTTATTATAGCTAGTCTTTGGTTCTCTGTCATGTGGAAAATTATATTTGAAATGTCTAGAAGGAGGAAAAAAAATGTGTGCTACTCAGTATTGATATTTTTCTTATATATCAGAGGATTTAACATATTTATCATAAGACACTAGTGGAATGACACCTTACATTATAAAAACAACTATCAAGAATCAAATGCAAACGTATATTTAAATGATCTGGGGGGCGCCTGGGTGGCTCAGTCGGTTAAGCGCCTGCCTTTGGCTCAGGTCATGATCCCAGGATCCTGAGACAGAACCCCACATTGCGCTTCCTTCTCAGTGGGGAGTCTGCTTCTCTCTCTCCCTCTGCCCCTCTCTCCTGCTCGTGCTCTCTCTCTGGCTTGCTCTCTCTCAATTAAATAAATAAAATCTTTTAAAAAAGATTTGAGAGGAGAATTTGGCTTGAACCTATTTTGCTTCTTTACACAGCAGATAGTGGAGATTTCCCCATGGCAATGTTTACACACTAACTTCTTATTCAATTTTTTTTTCCTATTTATCCTTTATTTAAATTCTTCACACACAATCCCATACCACATCTTTGCACATGGTGCAAAGAAGGGCAGCTGTGACAAAGTCCTTATATCTCATATTCTGTGTGAAATCATTTTATACTTTCATTGAGCATCAAACGTTATTTACCTTATTCTCCATTGAGCACTAACAGTCTACTTGTCACCACATGTGAGGTTCCTGGCTGCTAGAATAATTCACCACCTGAGTTGTAACATCAAATGAATTATAAAAAGGCTTGGGCAGAAAATACAGAGAATATTAGGTAATTTTTGAATCTATAGTAACTGTTTGATCATATGTATAACAGTGTTTGTGAATAAATAAATGAACAACCTAAGTTTGGGTAAAAATTATGGAGCTCTCATGAGGATACTATGTAGCTATATTATATATATAATATACATGTTCATGATATCCATTTTCTAATCCTCACAGAGGTTACATAACTCTTTTCAAACTTACGTTGTTCACTTTTCTATTCCCAATTTCATTTGTCAACTTTGTAATGACAGTATATATATTTTCACTTGTAAAGGGGTGAGTGATAGTATATGAGTATTACCTCTGAGAATAACAGATTCTATGAAACTCGGTAAATATAAACAATTTAATGAGTGAGCAAATTATGAAGTACTAACCACTTCTTCCATAGGCTTTAAAAACCATTGGTGAAATATAAATTATTTGACAAAACTATCCAAAGACAGCTAAAAGATTTGATGGAATTTTTATACTCTGATTATCTGGGCTGACTTAATGCTTATTAAAAGAGGATTAATCTACATTCATATTTGAGAAATAGTTTTTCAGGAAAGGGAATGAGGCTTGGCTGGCAACATTAAAGTTTCCATTTGGAGTAGGAAAATGTGGCCTACTAGAGATAGGCACTCTGAAAGCTTCCTTACCTCAAAATGTCAGTTTACCACATTGCTCTGTTTCCTTTCCACTTCAGTTCTAACAGGCATGAGATTAGGATTAATCCTGTCAGATAATAGTAGAGGTACTTCCTGTATGATAGAAACTTGCAAAACCTCTTTACCTCATATCCTTTATAAATATTGCAAGAAATTCAAAATATTTAATGCAATTCTAAAACACTTAAGGCTATGGTATCTGTAGAACTTTTTAGATACCTTAGCACTATCCAGTTAGTTTTAGGTAAAAACTTCTATATGTTGTTCCCTGAAAGTTCTTAACTTTAGATACTAGCAGGGACTCCTTCCTGGTAAAGATTCACACTTCTTTCAAATTTATCTCTGGTAAGCACAAAGTTATTACACTGTGATCATAAAAATCATGACTTGGGCAAAATTGTCCAATGACTTCTCCTTCCATCCCTCTTGCTCTTAAATTCAAGAAAATTCAACATTTCTTTGAAATGAAATCTACCTCAAACAGCTTTCAATTTGCCGTGGAATTTTTTTTTTCACTGCCCAAAAAGAAAGACTGAAAGAAAGAGGAAGGAAGAAAGAAAGGAAGGAAAGAAGGAAGGAAGGAAGGAAGGAAGGAAGGAAGGAA